TAGTTCGATAAGAAGTGATATCATGCATTTTTTGCAGGCTTATCATGCCTGCAGGGAATAACAGCAGGGGTCGGGGAAGTAGGAGAGGTCGGGGTATAGCGACGTTTGGTGCAACAGCTAGAAGACGTAATCAACGTCGTAACAGACTAGCTAATGAGGCGGCAGAGGCAGCAGAGAAGAGAGCAAGACAGGTTGCGTCCCCTTTGCAAAGGAGTGAGTGGTCTCCTCAGCATGTACAGAGCCAGAAAACACAACGAATTTAAACAAGGAATCTACCTGTGAGGAAGTCTTGAACCAAAACCTCACTAGTGGAAATGATAATAAGATAATAAGAATTATTGATTCTTTGGGGATGTACTTACAAAAGGTATCCCTGCAATAGTTGTTATTGTTATTGTACTTGTCAGTGGGGTACTGATTTGGAAGTTTTGTCCTCGTGGTTGTTGTGACCCGAGGCTTCTACCATAGTATGTGTAATGTGTGTAAGTGCAAGTTGGTGATCATATTGTTTTTGTATTCTAAGTTAATGATCATTGTCAGATAAAACAATTAAAAAAAAAACTTCACTAGTGGAAATGATAATAAGATAATAAGAATTATTGATTCTTTAGTGTAGATTATTTCAATTTTTTATAACTATGGCAGTAGTAAACCATCGCGGGTTTACTACTGCTACTACTACTACTACTAGGTGTATCTATTGAACCAAAATAAGAAAGATTTTAAAGCAAAGTATATGTTACTTTTGAAGATGGGCAGAAAAGAATAGTACACTACAAATAAACAAATTACTAGAACAGAATGAGGATGGGTTTATCATCTAAAAAGTGTACTGGTGCAATACAGTACTAAGTGTATGATCCCCCCACATTTCAGGGCCCTAAAGCAGCAGCACAAACATATCACTACAGCCCTAAGAAGACTTTCAAGATGTTCTATGATAATACAAGCTAAGTATCACGTGACGTCACACTCCCTCAAATGACGTCACACTCCCTCACGTAACGTCACACTCCCTCACGTGACGTCACGTAGCACAAACATATCACTACAGCCCTAAGAAGACTTTCAAGATGTTCTATGATAATACAAGCTAGGTATCACGTGACGTCACACTCCCTCACGTGACGTCACACTCCCTCACGTGACGTCACACTCCCTCACGTGACGTCACGTAGCACAAACATATCACTACGGCCCTAAGAAGACTCTCAAGATGTTCTATGATAATACCGCATTTTTTATTGGGGAAATGAGAAGAGTCTGTGCGAGAGCCTGACTTGGAGCCTGCTATAAAAGTTTATGGGTTTTATTGTGAAGCAGAATGCGAACCAAGTCCTCTGGAAAGTATTATTTTGTTCTAGGACAAAAGCTACTAGAACAGCTTCATATGAGAGAGGAGAATGGTTGGAAATAAAGAATGTTAAATCATTTAATGTTAACAACTTGTGGGGTTCACTGAAAAAAGCCACTACAGGTAACTTTTGTCATTTGATGCAGTGGGTGGTTCTTTATATCTATAATTTGTTTATCAATAGGGCCTTATCTCAGGAAGAACTCAGAATAAAGAAAAGTGTAATAATCATTGATTATTGATGATTGATTAATGTAATTGATGTAATTAATCATTTCTATATTTAGGGGTTTACAACTTATGAACACATCGTTTCACTGGTCTTCTGATATTTTACAATGGCGACGAGAGCAAGAAAACCTTGGTGTGGCAATGCAGATTACCTGGATAGCTGGATAGAACAGTTAGAGGAATCTTTCATCCTAGAAGATATTACAGATCACAGAAAGAAAGTAGCCTCATTACTCAGCTATATTGGAAGGTATGGTTACGAGATACTGAAGAACATCTTAATACCGCTTAAGAAAATTAGAAATAAGAAAAAAATAATAAGAAAAAGATAATAAGAAAAAGTGATAAGAATTGAAGAATGAAAAGAATGAATACAATTATTAATGAATATTTTATTTTTCTTAACTACATTTTTATTTATATCGGATAAACACTGTATTAATCATACATAATATGATGATAATAAAAGAAATAAGTCTGCAGAATGCTTTCTTGTTCGACTTGTTCGATAAGAAGTGTTATCATGGAGATAAGGACTGCCAGAAATATAAAAGCCCCCCGACCCCCTTTATGACGCGGTTCCCCGGTCATTAATTTCACGATACATCTGCAGATCAGCAGATGTAGAAGTCTCTCTCTGTTTTGGTCAACGGTTTCTGGCCTCCTAGTGAAGAGGGAGGCCTTCTCGCCGTGCCCACAGAGTGTGACTCCTGCTAGCCACACTCCAGGACTCCCTAAGTATATACAAAAACATAGAATAATAGATATCAACGCAACAGACCTCTGGAGTCTCGAAGCTGTTACTACCTTGCTCAGAGCAAACCCACTTCAGATGTTCTTCTTTAGCGGGCAGGCGAGGGACTTCCGAGCATGGTCCACACCTGAATATGTATCACTATCTGAGATAGTCCTGTGTGGGTCTAGTGTATGATTGTTTATGAACCTTGGTGTATGTCCTAGATGCTTATCCAAATAGATCGTCTCTGTCAAACCTTGTTGACTGTTCCACGAATTTGATAATGTGGTCGAGTTTACTATTGATGGGTTCCTCAATTGTTAGGATGGGTTTACCAAATATCCTCATTCTAGTTGTCATCAGCTGGATGCATTCACATAGGAAGTGTTGTGATGTTTCTGCTTCCCCTGGGCACTGTTCACAGTCTTGTGTTTCGAAATTGGAGTTGTTTGCTACCGTCTGGAAGTATGCTAGTGGGCTGTGTCCTGATAGTAGCCATGTTAGCCATCTGATGTGAGTGCCTGTGATGTTAATTTTCTTGTACCTGTTTTTGTTGAGGAAAAATGTTAGTGGGGGTTTTCCTTTATCACTGAGTGCCACCTGTTTATACTTCTTGATAAGGAGATTGAAGAGATAATCTTTTATTTGGGTGTTGATTATAGTTCTTTACCGTATACTCCTTCATGTCCTGGAACAAAGTTCTACTCGATGAGAAAACCTAGCGAGTTGAGTTGGTCTGAGATGTTCAGAACGAACCTGGAGTTAAAATTGGTGCTGTTAAGGGCTTTAAATGCAGCCTGGGAATCTGAGAGGAATTTATGATTGATTGAGATCCTAAGTTATATCATTAGTCCAGATACTTGCCATGTATAACGCAAATAGCGGGTACGATTTCCTCAATGAACCTGAAGAAGGAATATCTGTCCTGAATTGATAACATGTAACGTCGAGCTTAAAAATGAATCAAAAGTTCGAGTAAATCGTTAAACGTTGTATGTCCTATTTGCATCCCCTAAGCATTGCATTGATGTTTATTCCTGGTCCGGTTAGCTTTGCGTCTCAGAACTAAAGAGGTCCACTATGCTTTAATGAGCTAAGCTGTCCACCAGGGTACTGTAGATCTAAGGGTTCCCCGTGTAATGGGGCAGGCTGTGATAAAGCATCTCTGTAGGATGTCCAAGATGAACTGATTCGAGTGTTGAGAACTTCCGCTGTAGAAACTGAATAGAACCAGAAAGGATGTCAGTCAAACTCTGCTGCTACTAGATGATTGTAGAGCGTCCAGTCACACTTCAATAAAGAGTGTGGCAAAGCTAACCCGGTCCCCTGAAAAGTGATTACTGGAGGAAGAAGTGCCAGGAATTCTCGTTATCAGTGTGTCCACGTAGTCAGAGTTGAAATCCCTAATTCTGTCTTATCACGAGCCTGTGTCTAGCGTGTGTCAGCCCTTACGCATTAGCTGTCTTAACTGAAAAGACCTGAAAAGTGGTTACTGGAGGGAGAAGTGCCAAGACTACTCATTATCAGTGTGTCCTTGTAGTCAGGATGAGCGAATTGGAATCCCTAGCTCTGTGGTGGGTGACTTCGATGGGACCTGAAAGCTGAAAGAGAATTTCCTGGTGATTTAATAGCTCTTAGAGCTAGGTATCTGTGTCTAACGTATCGTCATTTGTGTGTGTACTATCTTGTAACCTGATAACTGAAAGAGAAATTTCCTGGTGCTTGGTAGCTGTTATTGTTGACTTCCTGGTTCCCATGGGAACTTTGAGTTGGCAAGTCCCAACCTTAGTACTCAACAAGAGAGCACACCACCCGTTAGTGCCAACCAGGCCACACCACGTGGAGGTTCGGAGAGGATTTCGTGACCCAGATGTAGAAGTCAGATCACTGACACAACACTTGAGAGGCAGTGGGTAGCATTTCAAAGGCTTCCTCAATATGCCACACCTACCAGACTACTACAACTTTTGGGAAGCGTGTCCTATGGACGATGTTCTTAATCAAGAGGCCTATCTTGTTTTTGCATTAAACACCATTGTTAACACCGAGTGTGGTAGCAACGCAACAGCAGAACATCTGGGACACATGACTAACATTGTCATGAGAGCTGACCGCCAGCGACTTGAACCTCTCTCTGCCTCCAATGAAATGGTAATTTGTTATCTTCCCCCAAGCCTTCCGAACATAATGGACTTAAAGCTCCACACCAAGATAGGCTGCCTTTGGAAAAAGGTGGGCGGCAGGGAAGCACTGCTACACTAAATTTTAAAAAGAGTGGTTGACTTCTGAAGAATCCAGCCCTACCTAAAAAGAAGAACAGTGTAGTAAGTTCCACTATGTTGTAAAGGAGAATCAGTACCATGACTAGAGGGATTTTGTTGAGGTTACAATGAGTAATGAGGTCTAATAACAACGGGTTGTTAATAGGAAGAGTGATGTCTAAGTATGCTGAGCAGAGGATGAATGATTCTGTGTCAAGAGTTATTCTGATTGTGGTAATATCATGCAGAAGTGTCCCAGTCTCATGCTAAGTGCATGAAGTCCTTGAGGGAGGGCGATGTTATATTGCTGGTTGTGTCTTTTTTCTTCTTGTTGTCAGGGTCCACTGCTAAGGATATGAAAGCATTTTAAAAAACAATTTTATCTAGTATTTGATTGTTGGTTTTTTACATTTGTATTATTTTCATAAATTGTGTTTCATTTGGTCAAATATAGGAATATCCTATTTTCTCGGTCGAGCGTGTATTAGACGTCGCGTCGCAACCAGATGCCACCGAAATTTTGATGTATAGATACTTTAGAACAGCAATTTCTTACGTATAAAAGAAAAATATGCAACAATAATGCATAACGTTATAAAATCAACATTTTAAGTGTTATGTCTTATTTTCTTACTACAATTGTGCCGGCGTTAGCTTCTGAGCAGTCTGCTTGGTTATTTCTGATCACACTAGGGGTGAGTTTCTTACTATGTCTCGCTTGAATGACTTAAATGTACATCTTTGTTGGGTATATTTTGATGTCGAAGCGTGTAATTAGAATTTATTTATTCATTTATTATGTACATGCACGTGATAGCTATTTTCATCATTTATCTGTTATCTATGTTTAACATGTTGTGAACATTTACAAAATCTAATTGCAGATGGTGTGGAAACGGGAATGCCCTCATTGCAACCAGCTGCTACAATACGTATATGTCGAAGATATTTACCGATCCACTCCATGCGAGTATGTCTGTAGATACTAATATTACCAATATCATCGATCTTTGACCCTGTTAATTTTTCTTCCAGTCATGTCATTTTTTGTTGTTTTTAAAACTACTTGATATGTCAGCATGACTAAATTAACTACACGAAAGAACTTTTGCATATTACACGCAGGTACGATGAACACGTACGGTTTGCACTGACTGAGCTAACCAGGTTCAGTGGGAATTGTACACAGATTCTTACAATTCTGTACGGTTTGGCCAAGAGTAAAAACTGTTGTAAGTTGATGGGTAAATTTGGAAAAAATTGGTGTTAATAAACTTTAAATCTGTTTGGTGGGTCACTTTGAAATTTTGTCACATGCTGTTGGCACCTTACACTTAAAAAGAAACTGACACATGTATTACAGTGCGACAAGTTGCAGAGGAGGCAGGCGTGAGTATACCGTTGGTTTCACGAATCAAAAAGGACATCACTGGAAGGATAAAGGTGATTATTAAGAATACACAACAATTGAATAGCAAATTAGTAACCTAACGTGTAGTTAAGACTGACTACCATCTAAATCAGTCTTTGCATAGTACACTTATACATATTATTTACCTGCTTATAATAAAAATCTCCACGTATCAAGACTTTTTTGTCAGACAGCAGATTATTTACAGGAATGGTTATGGAAGTCCTGCAGCAATGTCATTGGAGGATTTGGTCGTGTCGTCGAAATTGACGAGGCACAACTGGGACGACGAAAAAACCACAGGTGAGCTGTGGACACAATCTTACTCGTGAACATAGAATAACAGGACCTTCAGTTGTCATATAGTTTTAGGTGTATATTGCCTTTTTAAAGTAATCTGTTTCAGGGGTAAGGAGCGAAGGTGTGAATGGGTACTAGGCATGATCGAAAGAGGCTCCAACAGAATAAGCCTAGCTTCTGTCATCCGTCGAACAACAAAGGAGATGTATCCACTAATCCTTGAAAGAGTTTTACCAGGTCAACTGAAAACTTGTCTTAATTCAACTTTATGCCTCCCATTACTGATTATCCAAAGTCATAACATACATATGTAATAAATGTATATACATATATATATATATATATATAAATTATATATATAATACTAATATATATTCAGTCAACGTCTATATAATATTGATATTTTCGAATTATATTATTATGATAAAATAAATGTTTGTAATATCCTATTGAGGCACATGTCACCCCATCGCAGGTTTACTACTGCTTATACTACTACTAGGTGTACCTTATCGGACCTTATTTGGACGGACATTACTTGAACGCTGGAGGCCCTAGCGTTCATCTTAATGTCCGTTCAAATAAAGTCCGTTCAATTAATGTCCGTCCAAGTTAAAGTCCGTTGAAATTTTTTCAAAAATTTTTCCAGAATATGACAACTTTGAGAACTTTATTGTGACGTAAGTTAACGACGGAAAGGTTCTCCTTGGTCTGCCGGAGGCACAGAAAACTAAAAGTATATGATGTTTTCAAGGGTCACTTGGAGGAAAAAAGTCAACGAAATTATGGCACTCAACAACAAAGTTCATGAACTAGTCCCCGCCAACATGACAAACTTGCTCCAGCCTCTAGATATCACGGTAAATCGTGTTGCCAAGGACATTTTCCGACGTTGTTATAGTTCATATTACTCGGGGGCGGTAATGAAACAATGCTAGGAAAGCTCCACGTGATGTTAAGGTTAACCTTAAGTTGTCTAAGATAAAACCACTTCACGCCGAATGGCTTGTAAAAGTTAACAGTAACACTGAAATGCAGGACCGGGGTAGTTTGATTTTTTAAAAAGGTTTCCATAAAGCTAGAAATCACTGATGTTTTAAGCATGGACTATTTCATGCACGAAAACCCATTTGATGAAGATGATATGTGATATTAGACACTGATCATGTACAAATATTTTAACATTTTTACTGCTTAATGACTGCTTTTCTTACTTACTGTATAAAAAATGGATTAAAAAATCATTTGCTGAAATTTAAAAAAAGTCAAAAATTGAAAAAAATTCGGATTTTTGATGGTTTTGAATGCCTTCGACCGTTCATATTAATGTCCGTTCATAATTGTGTCCGTTCATGTAATGTCCGTCCAAATAAGGTCCGATAAGGTATCTATTGCACCAAAATGAGAAAGATTTTAAAGCAAAGTATTTGCCTTTTGAAGATGGGCAGAAAAGAATAGTACACTACAAATAAACAAATTACTAGAACAGAATGAGGATGGGTTTATCATCTCTAAAGTGTACTGGTGCAATACAGTACTAAGTGTATGATCCCCCCAACAGTTCAGGGCTCTAAAACCGTAGCAGAAACATATCACTACGGCCCTAAGAAGACTCTCAAGATGTTCTATGATAATACCGCATTATTTATTGGGGAAATCAGAAGAGTCTGTGCGAGAGCCTGACTTGGAGCCTGCTATAAAAGTTGCTGGATCTTATTGTGAAGCAAAATGCGAACCAAAAACTCTGGAAAGTAATGCTTTTTTCAAGGACAAAAGCTACTAGAACAGCTTCATATGAGAGAGGAAAATGGTTGGAAATAAAGAATGTTAGATCATTTAATGTTAACAACTTGTGGGGTTCACTGAAAAAAGCCACTACAGGTAACTTTTGTCATTTGATGCAGTGGGTGGTTCTTTATATCTATAATTTGTTTATTAATAGGGCCTTATCTCAGGAAGAACTCAGAATAAAGAAAAGAATAAAGAAAAGTGTAATAATCATTGATTATTGATGATTGATTAATGTAATTGATGTAATTAATCATTTATTATTGATGATTGATTAATGTAATCGATGTAATTAATCATTTCTATATTTAGGGGTTTACAACTTATGAACACAACGTTTCAATGGTCTTCTGATATATTACTATGGTGACGAGAGCAAGAGAACCTTGGTGTGGCAATGCAGATTACCTGGATAGCTGGATAGAACAGTAAGAGGAATCTTTCATCCTAGAAGATATTACAGATGACAGAAAGAAAGAAGCCTCATTACTCAGCTATATTGGAATGTCCAGCATCACAGACATATGCAGGAGACGAAGGAAGGTTTTCAGAAACTCGAGGGAGTACCAATTGGTGAAAATCAACAACAGGAGACCAGTTGCTCTGAGATTCAACACAGCAACTCGAAGAGATTCGCGAGAATTCGTCCAACTGCGACTTCAACGGCACTGGACAGCCTGGTGTACCTCATAGACATGGAGAAGACTTTCTGAGAACTCTTTCTTTCTGTTTGGATATTTTTATTGTATGTAATTATTTTGATTCACGAGTTTCATTGTTTAACTTCTAATTTGTTACTTGAGACTACGGTATATTGTAGATTTATGTTTTGATTTTGTATTCTTAACTTACCTTTTACACCTCCCTTTATCCGTTTGTTTAACCTTGATATTCCTTTTCTAGTTACTTATTCTTCATGTCATCGTCTAGAGATTTGCTGATGGCAGTCGCATCACTGAGCAACGCGTACACATATGACCTCAGAGAGCTCGAGGAGTTGAAGAAGCGTCTAAGACGTGCGGAAAGAAGGATACGGGACCTGCAGATAGAAATAGAGTATATGGCTGAGCAAGCGGCCAACAGAATGGATACGCAGCCCGGGCCCCACCGTACTACAACAGCCCCACATCGCCGAGTACGGAGCCGAACTCGAGCCCGCACTAGAGGTGGCCGTCTCATCCTCATTGTTGTTCTTTCTCCTTTTTGTTATCGATTTTTACATTTCATTATATTTAAAGTGTTTTACTTGTACTCATTCGTATGGAATGGAAATGAGGATCTAAAAAGGATTTAAGGGAAGGGAGAAAGACGGGGAAATAGGTGAGTATTGTAAATTATGATATTGGATTTGGAGTAGGGTTAGAATTACTGATTCTTTGGGGATGTACTTACAAAAGGTATCCCTGCAATCGGTGACCGACAACTAGGAACCTCTCATTTCGGCCTCCCACAGGTATCACATCACATGGCCCAATCAGTGACGTATCATTTGTGATGTGATCCATATTATAACCATCCTAACAGCCGGACAACCAAGAACCTGTTACCTGGGTAGGGTTCACATGACAGTTTAGTAAGTACCTGTGTATTATGAAGTATATTAAGAAGTGTTTGAGCTCTCGATATGTGTTCACAGATAACTCTTTATCCATTGGCTCCAAACTCCACAACCACCCTGCTGACAACGCTGCTCCAAAGAATATCGATCGACTGGGTGTTGGAAAAACTCCTTCTAAGGAAAGGATTAGAAGGAAAACTTCCAATGACTTTGGCCATGAGATTGATATTGGGTAATGTATTCTGTATGTAATTATTATGTTGGGTTTGAACTATCATTATCTTGAAAAAAAGCTTTGTCTTAATTAATGAGTGCAGAAATATATACAGCACAGCTGTGAAATAGGTTGTTGTGACCCGAGGCTTCTACCATAGTATGTGTAATGTGTGTAAGTGCAAGTTGGTGATCATATTGTTTTTGTATTCTAAATTAAAGATCATTGTCAGATAAAACCATTAAAAAAAACTTCACTAGTCGAAATGATAATAAGATAATAAGAATTATTGATTCTTTAGTGTAGATTATTTAAATTTTTTATATCTATGGTTGATATATAATATTATATATGGTTGAAGGATCAACCATAATTTATTGATATTTTCGAATTATATTATTATGATAAAATAAATGTTTGTAATATCCTATTGAGGCACATGTCACCCCATCGCGGGTTTACTACTGCTACTACTACTACTACTACTAGGTGTATCTATTGCACCAAAATAAGAAACATTTTAAAGCAAAGTATTTGCCTGGTAAACGACCCCTCCTCCCGCAGCCCCAAATACACCACCTCCTCCAGCAGCTCGTCGGACACGAGTGAGGAACATCAGCATTGACGGAGCTTTGGTTGAATACAGGACAGTACTCAACTTGACCATCAACGGGAAATCTCTTTCAACAGTCCTAGAAGAAAGAGGCATTTGTCGATCGCACTTCTACAGAAAAAGGTGCATTGCAGAAGCAGCACTCGTGGACATACAATCCCTTGAGAGCTCGTTCCTGCAGCTACGTAAAGTAACGCTCCAAACCGTATACCCAGCGGCAAAAGATATCTGCAACAGAAAACATAGAGACCTAACACGCCTTTATGCTCAAGGAAACGCCCTGAAACCTAAAACTCGTTATTAAGATATTTGTTTTATTCTATATTGTAAACCAGTTATTTCAGTATCAATTTATCATCATTATATTGTAAACCAGTTATTTCATTATCAATTAAGCATCAATTTAAATTTCCGACTTTTAACTAGCAGTCCAAAGTATCTGAACAGATAATTTAAAAATCTGTGTGTGTAATAATCCTACCCTTTTTAACTGCGGCAATGAAATCCCGGCCGTATACGTTAACGTTGTCTTATTGTTGTCTTAATGTTGTCTTAATGTTGTCTTATTGTTGTCTTAATGTTGTCTTAATGTTGTCTTAATGTCCCATCGGTGTTCGTACAAGTTGCCTAAACAAATCACTAGAACAGAATGAGGATGGGTTTATCATCTCTAAAGTGTACTGGTGCAATACAGTACTAAGTGTATGATCCCCCAACAGTTCAGGGCTCTAAAACCGTAGCAGAAACATATTACTACAGCCCTAAGAAGACTCTCAAGATGTTCTATGATAATACCGCATTATTTATTGGGGAAATCAGAAGAGTCTGTGCGAGAGCCTGACTTGGAGCCTGCTATAAAAGTTGATGGATCTTATTGTGAAGCAGAATGCGAACAAAAAAATCTGGAAAGTATTATTTTGTTCTAGGACAAAAGCTACTAGAACAGCTTCATATGGGAGAGGAGAATGGTTGGAAATAAAGAATGTTAGATCATTTAATGTTAACAACTTATGGGGTTCACTGAAAAAAGCCACTACAGATAACTTATGTCATTTGATGCAGTGGGTGGTTCTTTATATCTATAATTTGTTTATCAATAGGGCCTTATCTCAGGAAGAACTCAGAATAAAGAAAAGTGTAATAATCATTGATTATTGATGATTGATTAATGTAATTGATGTAATTAATCATTTCTATATTTAGGGTTTTACAACTTATGAACACATCGTTTCACTGGTCTTCTGATATATTACTATGGCGACGAGAGCAAGAGAACCTTGGTGTGGCAATGCAGATTACCTGGATAGCTGGATAGAACAGTTAGAGGAATCTTTCATCCTAGAAGATATTACAGATGACAAAAAGAAAGTAGCCTCATTACTCAGCTATATTGGATGGTATAGTTATAATATACATATCATAACTATCAGTTATTAACTATCCTATGTCAGAGAAGCAATTATCGGTGATACATTATCTGCTTAGTTTCAAAATACCGTGTATTTCTCCTTGCGTATATGTCTAAGCGGTCGCGGTCCCGTTTCAAATAAACTACCGATACTTGACAGTAACCTATATCCGTAACCTAAATGCAGCAGCTTAACTTCACGGTTATTTCAGATCAGTTTATGGTAACAGCAAAAGAACACAGTCCTTGTATCTGGAATATGTTGTACGACGTATGCGCAATCAGAACAAAAGCAACTAAGCTTAAACAGATAAGAGATCGGGAGAGGTTGAGCGAGACCTGCAGTTCTCCTCACTACCATATTATTCTTTAAACAAGGCACATTGTCTGTCAGAAACGTTTATGTAAGTAACTTATTTTAAATCGCCCAAATATTTTAATGTGGGACTTTTTATAAATTTAAACAAGTTTTTATTAACTGCTAGTGTAACCGGTGCCTACGGCCACTATTGCAGAATTTTTCATCCCAGAAGTATTACAGATGACAAGCTATATTGGAAGGTATGGTTACGAGATGCTTAAGAAGAAAAAGATAATAAGGAAAAGTGATAAGAATTGAAGAATGAAAAGAATGAATACAATTATTAATGAATATTTTATTTTTCTTAACTAAATTTTTCTTTATATAAGAATGTGGGATACTGAAGGGAAAAGAAGCAGTTCTAACGAGCTCTTCTCAAACACAAGGATATATCTTGTGAACTTGGCTAGTATATATGAAACATTTGTCATGGAGTTGTAGGGTGAGTTATGTGCCTCACCGGGCTAAAGTAGTGGATGTCCTTGCTGTACGGCAAGTTAAACAAGGAACTGAAACTACTAGGTTCCGTACAGACTCAACTCTGCACCCATGTCAATATGTTCATTATATGCAAGCCTCTTGATTTATAATCACCGGGTCTAGTAATTGTTTAAGAGAGTTCTCTGGCAGTTACGAAGCTCGAGAGAATGTGGGATACTGAAGGGAAAAGAAGCAGTTCTAACGAGCTCTTCTCAAACACAAGGATATATCTTGTGAACTTGGCTAGTATATATGAAACATTTGTCATGGAGTTGTAGGGTGAGTTATGTGCCTCGCCGGGCTAAAGTAGTGGATGTCCTTGCTGTACGGCAAGTTAAACAAGGAACTGAAACTACTAGGTTCCGTACAGACTCAACTCTGCACCCATGTCAATATGTTCATTATATGCAAGCCTCTTGATTTATAAGCACTGTATTAATCAAACATAATATGATGATAATAAAAGAAATAAGATTATACATAAGTCTGCAGAATGCTTTCTTGTTCGACTTGTTCGATAAGAATTGTTATCATGGAGGTAAGGACTGACAGAAATATGATAGCCCCCCCCCCTTTATGTAGCCCCCGGCCCCCGACCCCCTTTATGTAGCCCCCCGGCCCCCGACCCCCTTTATGTAGCCCCACAGCCCCCCCTTTATGTAGCCCCCCGGCCCCCTGACCCCCTTTATGTAGCCCCCAGCCCCCGACCCCCTTTATGTAGCCCCCCAGCCCCCCCTTAATGTAGCTTCCCGGCCCCCTGACCCCCTTTATGTAGCCCCCAGCCCCGACCCCCTTTATGTAGCCCCCCGGCCCCGACCCCCTTTATGTAGCCCCCCGGCCCCGACCCCCTTTATGTAGCCCCCCGGCCCCGGCCCCCGACCTCCTTTCCAGGTCATATAACGCATTTATTTCACGATACATCATGCAGATGAGCAGATGAGCAGATGTAGAAGTCATCACTGACACAACACTTGAGAGGCAGTGGGTAGCATTTAAAAGGCATGTCTTCCTCAATATGCCACACCTACCAGACTACTACAATTTTTGAGAAGCGTGTCATATTAACGATGTTCTTAATCAAGAGGCCTATCTTGTTTGTGCATTAAACACCATTGTTAACGCCGAGTGTGGCAGCAATGCAACAGCAGAACATCTGGGTCACATGACTAACATTGTCACTAGCGCAAACCGCCAGCCTCTCTCTGCCTCCAATGAAATGGTAATTTGTTATCATCTCCCAAGCCTTCCGGACATAATGATGCTCCACACCAAGATAGGCTGCCTTTGGAAAAAGGTGGGCGGGAAGGATCCTTGTGGAAGCACTGCCACACAAAAGTTTAAAAAGAGTGGTAAACTTCTGAAGAATCCAGCCCTACCTAAAAAGAAGAACAGTGTAGCAAATTGTAAAGGAGAATCAGAACTCTCCTAGTTCACTTTTAATATCCAGTGTCACGTCCTTATGTAGAAGAAGAGCAGTTTTTCGGAACTCGATAGAGTACCAGTTGGTGAAGATCAACAACAGGAGAGAAGTTGAGCTAAGATTCAACACAGCAATCCGCAAGATTTAACTTGCTACTCAAAAGTTGAAGTGTTTTATTTTTACTTGCCTTCGTGTGCTAAAAAAGATAAAGGATCAACAAAAATAAAGGAAAAAGAGGAAAATGTAATAGTGAGTAGAGTGTTAGATAATTGTATTTGTACTTGTAGTAAGTTTAGACCTTACTTCTAGAAAGTGTTTTTTTCCCGGCATTTTATTAGGTAATCGTACTGTAGTGCAACACGTACTACGGTATTGATATTATTAAAGTATACACATCTTTTGCGCGGTTTTATAACCCTCTGTCTCGCTGCAAAATGCTAACAATTGTTAATAACCAGAATCAACCGAATTCCACTAACGAAACAACAACATGTAGGAAGAGACCGCCTAAAGGACCTATTCTATCTTCTATACCAGCTAAGTCTTACTTTAACCATGATTATATGCACTACCGAAGTAAGCAGTCTATTCTACCTAATACTTGCCTGAAACCCTCCAACCTTTTGCCTACCCCCAACAATTCTATCACCATTTAACACCACAACCCAGATCCCCGAAATAGCAATCCACTACGATCCAGGTAGCGTACTCTAGTGCGACACAATATCCAACATAGTTGGTTCGTGCGCACTTAACGTACTTTTAAAACATAACGCACTTAACGTACGAAAAAACGTGAAACGCACTTTTACCTACACTCGCTGGGCCATTTGCGTGTAAAGCACTTGCTGTCGATTATTAACCAATCTTTCTATAAGCAAGTAAATACAGATGTAAATACGAAGACAACAACAATCGGCTAGGACCTACCAACAACAACGAGAGTGTCCGACTTGAAGCCGGTAAGTGTTTGTGTGTTAGTTGTTGTTTTTCCCGTATTACATTGTGATCTGTTTTACTTTGTGATTGTGTATACTTTCTGAGAGGATGTTCCTTACAGTGTTTTAGGTGCCTTATTACCCCAGGTTGTTGTGTGGATGCTAGCGTAGCAGTCCAGTGAAGTTAGATTGAGGATATAGTTCTAGAGTGAACAGCTCTGAGAGAGCAGACAAGTATAGTAAAGAGTGGACCTGAGTGAGCTCTGAGAGAGCAGTAACCAGCACAGCACAAGTAAGATCAAGAGGGACAGTATAGCTGAGAGAGCTATTACTAGTAAAGAGTGGATCAAGGAACTTTCCCCAAATCACAAGTTAAATTGTTAGTAGATAATATTTATTGAATTGATTTGGATATTGAACACAGATCACTCAGCGTAATAATCATACACACTCATATCACTGATCAACCAAGAACATCTGAGAGTTATAACTAGAGAGTTATCTAACCTTGTTATAAATCTGTTTTATTACAACCTTTTATCCCAGAGAGTTTGACTTGGTATTATTGATAACAATTCTCCCTGTTTAGCGTTAATAACACTTGCGACAGCAAAAAGAGATTGTACTGGAAGTTCCTTACTTAAATATATTGAAAAGAAACTATAAAATGTAAGAGAAATAAATGTAATTTATTCGCTATGTAATCTTTAAGAACGTTATTCATGTGTTTTAATTGTTTGTCTCTACAGTCTACAGAAAATGCTGGTGAATTCAACGGTAAACGTACTTAAACGCACTTTTAACGCAAGAAATAATAATACGTATTTTTCCCGAAAAATTGACGCACGAACCAACTATGATATCCAATACTCACCCTAATTGTAACCAAGAAGGAGACTTTATTTGACGAATGTGATCACATGGCTTCTGTTCGTGGTTTTACAACCACTCAAAGTAACACTGCTGCAACCGAATGGGGCAAGGATAGAAGTTGAGGATAAGCGGGGTTGAGATACCACTACTACATCGAGATAATTTTAATTTTATAATAAACTACGATTTTTTGAGACATTTGAATTGAGGACGAAGAAGATCTGTTAAAAATGGTTACCAAGTGGGAACACTGTCACCAAGAAGCCTGGGGGCTGAAATTCTGAGAAATTAAGCATGTGGCTCTAACAGTTTTAAGCCTGAAATACTGCAGCTATATGTGGTAATATGTCTGCCTCACTTCCTTCTTTTTTTCTTTTGTTACTTGTTTTACCTTAGACCTTACAAAATGGCTCCAAGATGCGCAAGAGCACCTGGAGGAAGAGCACCCGCTGGAGGAAGAGCACCCGCTGGAAGAATGCCTGGTATTGCTCCACCAATTGTTAAAAGGGTGCTGTCTTCTGTAACTCAGAGCTATAAGGATGAGATGAAAGAATACGAAGCAACTCGTAAGAGGCTCCGCCGATCGGAGTGTAAGGTTAGAGACCTTACTGTGGAGATTAACTATATGGCTGAGCTTATCGAGCAGCTTAGGGCAGAGAGCAGCCAGATGGAATACGTCAACTCCCCCGTATACGGTCAAGTGAACCCACCAGAGTACAGCCCCATCACACCTACCAGCCCGGAGAGCCCCTCTCATTGACTTTAGGATCCTTCCTTTTTAATTATTGTGTAAATTCATTTTTCTGTATTTTTAACGAATTAATATAAATTTCTTGTGTTTTATTTTTACTCATTGTGATTCAATTCAAAGAGAAAAATGACCGAAATGGATTAGAGAAAAATTCACATCTCTATAATGACAATCAAAGTAAAAAAGGAAGGAAGGATACGGTAGAACACCAGACGGATAGGTAGTCCATATTGTATGAAAATCTTTGTTTAAAAAAAAATAGTGGAAATGATAATAAGATAATAAGAATTATAAATTTTATCTACCACGCTGACAGTGAAACAATTTTATCGTATTCCAATTTCTGATCGACTTTCATGATATTCTCTAATCATGACCTTTTTATCAATTTTTGTATTTCTTTGACTGAGTATTATGATTGATTTTATCTGACTAATTCAATTTCTTTTTTGTAGGCTCTAGCGATGTATTAAACGAAGTTTCCAAGCCAAATTTCTGTGTTTCCCTTCGTGTCCAAATCAATCAATCAATAAGAATTATTGATTCTTTAGTGTAGATTATTTTAAATTTTTATATCTATGGTTGATATATAATATTATACATGGTTGAAGGATCAACCATAATTTATTGATATTTTCGAATTATATTATTATGATAAAATAAATGTTTGTAATATCCTATTGAGGCACATGTCACCCCATCGCGGGTTTACTCATAGATGATACGTACGAACTCTACGAACTCCTCAGTGACAACGAACTCTACGAAATCATCAACCCAAAATTACGAACTCTTGAGGAGTTCGTTTTGTACAACTTACGTAAAATGAAATTAAACAGAAATTGTATTTACAATTCAGCCAATTCAACACATAACATACGATTGTAAAACAACTAAATATATTGGTACTCGAAACTTCTACCACGCGTCGCGTGTACACTGTACATTTCACAGTACAAGGACTGGTCGATCGACTGGAACATTCTGGCGCCAATAGTTTACCCCTGAAATATTGGGAAACACTTGGTGGTGGGACCCCTGAACTGCAAGAACTGGCCATTAAGGTCTTTAAACAACATACGTCAGCTTCCTTGTGTGAACATAATTGGAGCTCATTTGAGTATATATTCAATAAAAAGAGGAATAGATTGTCGACTAATAGAGTTGAAAAGCTGGTTTACGTTCATGGAAATCTACGTTATTGTAAGTCAAAACAGGAAGTTCGCTGTTCCCATAAACATGCTTCAACAAGTCTGTTGAAGTATATTTCCGATGTTATGTCTGCTGAAAGTTAGTAAAATTTAACATTCTGTATTGCTCGTTATTTATTTATTTATACAAAAATATTATAGTTTTATTCTTTATTTTTACCCCGATAAATATCTGAGATCATGCGAGAAATCCTGAGCTGATTACTTTAAAAAAAAAAACATTTTCCATGTTTTTTTTTGAAAAATTGACTAACGAACTCCAACGAACTCTAACGAACTCCAAATTTTGAACGAACTCCACGAACACTACGCCAAAAATCAACGAACTCCGCATCTATGGGTTTACTACTGCTACTACTACTACTACTACTAGGTGAATCTATTGCACCAAAATGAGAAAGATTTTAAAGCAAAGTATATGCCTTTTGAAGATGGGCAGAAAAGAATAGTACACTACAAATAAACAAATTACTAGAACAGAATGATGATGGGTTTATCATATCTAAAGTGTACTGGCGCAATACAGTACTAAGTGTATGATCCCCCCACATTTCAGGGCTCTAAAACCGTAGCACAAACATATCACTACGGCCCTAAGAAGACTTTCAAGATGTTCTATGATAATACCGCATTATTTATTGGGGAAATGAGAAGAGTCTGTGCGAGAGCCTGACTTGGAGCCTGCTATAAAAGTTTATGGGTCTTATTGTGAAGCAGAATGTGAACCAAAAAATCTGGAAAGTATTATTTTGTTCTAGGACAAAAGCTACTAAAACAGCTTCATGTGAGAGAGGAGAATGGTTGTAAATAAAGAATGTTAGATCATTTAATGTTAACAACTTGTGGGGTTCACTGAAAAAAGCCACTACAGGTAACTTTTGTCATTTGATGCAGTGGGTGGTTCTTTATATCTATAATTTGTTTATCAATAGGGCCTTATCTCAGGAAGAACTCAGAATAAAGAAAAGTGTAATAATCATTGATTATTGATGATTGATTAATGTAATTGATGTAATTAATCATTTCTATATTTAGGGGTTTACAACTTATGAACACATCGTTTCACTGATATATAACAATGGCGACGAGAGCAAGAAAACCTTGGTGTGGCAATGCATATTACCTGGATAGCTGGATAGAACAGTTAGAGGAATCTTTCATCCTAGAAGATATTACAGATGACAGAACGAAAGTAGCCTCATTACTCAGCTATATTGGAAGCTATGGTTATAATATACATATCATAACTATTAGTTATTAACTATCCTATGTCAGAGAAGCAATTATCGGTGATACATTATCTGCTTAGTTTCAAAATACCGTGTATTTCTCCTTGCGTATATGTCTAAGCGGTCGCGGTCCCGTTTCAAATAAACTACCGATACTTGACAGTAACCTATATCCGTAACCTAAATGCACCAGCTTAACTTCACGGTTATTTCAGATCAGTTTATGGTAACAGCAAAAGAACACAGTCCTTGTATCTGGAATATGTTGTACGACGTATGCGCAATCAGAACAAAAGCGACTAAGCTGAAACAGATAAGAGATCGGGAGAGGTTGAGCGAGACCTATACTGCAGTTCTACTCTCTACCATATTATTCTTTAAACACGGCACATTGTCTGTCAGAAACGTTTATGTAAGTATCTTATCTTAAATCGCCCAAATATTTTAATGTGGGACCTTTTTATAAATTTAAACAAGCTTTTATTAACTGCTAGTTTAACTGGTGGCTACGGCCACTATTGCAGAATCTTTCATCCTAGAAGATATTACAGATGACAGCTATATTGGAAGGTATGGTTACGAGATGCTGAATAAGAAAAAGATAATTAGAAAAAGTGATAAGAATTGAAGAATGAAAAGAATGAATACAATTATTAATGAATATTTTATTTTTCTTAACTATATTTTTCTTTAAATCGGATAAACACTGTATTAATCATACATAATATGATGATAATAAAAGAAATAAGATTATACATAAGTCTGCAGAATACTTTCTTGTTCGACTTGTTCGATAAGAGGTGTTATCATGTAGGTAAGGACTGCCAGAAATATAATAGCCTCCGACCCCCTTTATGTAGCCCCGACCCCCCCCCCCCTTTATGACGCGGTTCCCCGGTCATATAGCGCATTTATTTCACGATACATCATGCAGATGAGCAGATGAGCAGATGTAGAAGTCAGATCACTGACACAACACTTGAGGGGCAGTGGGTAGCATTTCAAAGGCTTCCTCAATATGCCACACCTACCAGACTACTACAACTTTTGGGAAGCGTGTCCTATGGACGATGTTCTTAATCAAGAGGCCTATCTTGTTCTTGAATTAAACACCATTG